GACCAAGGAGCTTGCCATCAATCACAGTAAAGGAACCGACAACAGTCTGGACTAGTCAAGGCAGCAGCACCCGAACGTGCATCCTGAATAGGGTGTGGGGTGGGCCAGGCTGCAACATTCACCAGCTCATACAAGGCCAAAGGGAAGACCAGGCTATGCCAGGCACTGGCCTAAAAACCACTGGCATGTATGAGAACTGGGTCTGGGAGTGGGTCAAGTGGAAGAACTTGGGAAACTCCCCTGGAGGGTCATAGCTTGTGCTGGTGAACACATGATCCAGAACTGGCGTCGGACAAGCTGGGAAAAGTAGCTCCATTGGCTGGCCAATGTGTGAAATGGTAATGGAACGGGGTAGACCAGGCAGGACTGAGTAAACCTTAGCTCACAAACAAAATGAGAAATCAGGAGGGAGCACAGGTCATGCCGAGCTAGGCTCTTGCACCTACTAATCTGGGTGAGCCAAGGACACTAAGCCACAGCATCTAAGGCAGGGACCGGAACAGATGAGGGGCTGTGCCAAACTGAGTCAGAGCAACCACTGGCATGTGCACGATCTACGGCTGGGAACAGGCATGGTTGGGGAGCTAAGGGGACACCCTAGCTGAGTGGAGGCTCCCACCAAGGAGCACGTGGGCTGGAATGGGGGGCTGCGTTCTGATCAGGATACAGTTGTAACCTCCCTAGGCACAAGTGTGGACTGAGACTGGATGCACCAAGCTGGGCTAGACTCCAACACTATCTGGTGCTCTTGAGGACCAGGGTAGATATAAGATGGACTAGGCTAGGTCTCAGCCCCTACTGAGCCATGTATGAGCTGTATGTGGGAATGGACAAGCTATGGCTGAGCTAAAACACCCAACAGTGAGAACCAGAATGGGTTGAAGGCCAGTCAGGAAAGGCCACTGTTCCTGCTAGGACAGGAGGTGAACTGAGTAGGGCTGGCTCATGGACCCATTGGTATGTGCAAGATCTGGCACTGGGAAAGGTTCTGATGAAAGAGCCTGGGCAACTCTTCTGGCAGGACATAGTCCCTGCAGGTGAATGCAAGAACCACGACAGCAGGGCCCGGAGTGATGGCGCAAGTGGTTAAGGTCCTCGCCTTGCACGCCCGGGATCCCATATGGGCGCCGGTTCTATCCCAGCAGCCCCGCTTCCCTTCCAGCTCCCTGCCTGTGGCCTGGGAAAAGCAGTCGAGGACGGCCCAAAGCTTTGGACCCTGCACCCGCGTGGGAGACCCGGAAGAGGCTCCTGGCTTCTGATCAGCATAGCATCGGCCCGTTGCGCTCACTTGGGGAGTGAATCATCGGACGGAAGATCTTCCTCTCTGTCTCTCCTCTCTGTATATCCGCCTTTCCAATAAAAAAATAATAAAAATAAATCTTTAAAAAAAAATTAAAAAAAAAAAAAAAGAACCACAACAGGAAACAGCCCAGAACAGGCCATGTATCCCACTGTCATACATTTTGCATGGGTCGGGGGCAGACCAGGCTGAACCAATTCACATCAGCCGCTGGTGATCTGAGCACCGGAACAGAGCGTGGATTGAGCCAGGTTTGGTCACAACAAAAACCAGTACACAATACGGAATGCCAAGGTGAGGAGACCTGTACTGGATGTGGCCACAGCACCCAACAGCACAGCACATGTCAGAACCAGGGAGGGAGGTGGCAGGGTTGGCAGGGAGAATGTGTGTGTGTGTGAGCCGGGGGGGGGGGGGGGGGGGGGGGGGTCCTGCTGGATAGCTACTCCTACTGGAAAGTGTGAGCTGGGATGGGGCAGACCAGACTAGACAGAGCTACAACACCTGTGGGCCTCATGTGTGCTAGACCAGGGAAAAGCCAGGCTGGGCTGATTGTTCCAACTGGTGCAAGCTTATATTAGAGCAGGTGAGGGTTGGTTGGGCTTTGCCGCAGCCAGGCTGGGCTGATTGTTCCAACTGGTGCAAGCTTATATTAGAGCAGGTGAGGGTTGGTTAGGCTTTGCCACAGCATCAGCATGCAAAAGCTGGCACTTGTGGCTAAATCTGTGGTTAAACTGCAGAACCACATGGAGAGTGCATAATTCGGGAATGGGAGTGGCCTAGAAGGGAAATAGTGAGCTCCTCCCTCTTGGGTTACCACCCCCACTGCAGGGCTCGAAAACTAGGACAGGGGCAGGGGTGGCTAGACAAAAAGGCACCCAACAGCATGTGTGTGAGCTGGATGGTGGAGCTGGTTAGGTTGAACTAGGCTTCAATACCCACAGACATGTATGAGAGCTGAATGGGATGTGGGACAGACTGGACTAGTCTGCTGCACATACTGGCAAGCATGGGAACCACGGTAGGGGGTGGGCCTGGTGGGGGTTATTGTGGGTGGTTCCAACTAGGCTGCAGCTCCCACTGGTTTATGTGAGGGCTAAGGATGTGCTGGGCAGAATCAAGCTGGCCTGCAACACCCATTGGTTCGCGTAGAAGAAAGCACTGGAAATAAAACCGACCCAGCAATTGCACCCACTAGCTGATTGGGGCGATGGACTGTACTGGGCCCTGTATTTGCAAGTACACACAAGAACCTGATCTGGCTTCACCTCAAAGTTTCTTTAGGGATCCCCGTAATTGAACTGCAGGACTCAGATCCCTAACCATGAAAAGACAGAGGACAGAAAAAATCAATCAGCTACCCCAGCCATATGCTGGCAATGAAAAACAGGGCAAATGGAGACTCTAAGATGGACTATGCCAATCAGCGAATTCCACAGCGACCTCATCATGCTTGGAATGGCAAGACTGGCAGCAATCCAGAACTGGTGAACTATCAAAACCACTTGAGCAAGACCCTCGGAGCATACCCCACATCGGGGACCTGGGATGGGTGGGAGGCTGGGTGGGGCTTATGTCTTTACCTCCCCTTTTACCCCAGCTACAGAAAAAAAAATGTGGAAATGATAGTCTTACCCACTTTCCTGTAGCCTTTGAACCTTTGTGCCCTAATTATGTAAAGATTGTCAAAAATAAAATAAAATAATGGAAAAAAAAAAAAAAAACTATGGGCCCAGCATGATGCCTCAGTGGCTCAGTCCTTGCCTTTCATGTGCCAGGATCCCATACAGGGGCCGGTTCGTGCCCCAGCTGCTCCACTCCCATCTAGCTCCCTGCTTGTGCCCTGGGAAAGTAGTAGCGAATGGCCCAAAGCCTGGGGACTCTACACCCATTTGGAAGACCTGGAAAGAGAGTCCTAGCACCTGGTTTCTGATTGGCTCTGCTCCAACCATTGCGGCCATTTGAGGAGTGAGCCAGCGGATGTAGTATCTTTCTCTTTGTCTCTCCTTCTCTCTGTCAACATGCCCTTCCTGGTGCTTGATAAACTGGTTACCTGTAGGGGGGGAAAAAATGGAATTGGACTCCTACATTTCCACCATGGTATTAAGAACAAGATTTCCTACCTCCCTCCCCCACTGCCAAAAAGCAAAAAACAAACAAACAAAAATACACAAGCAACCATAGCGTACTGATAAATTGTGCAATAAAATGAAAAACTCCCACTCAAGTTAGAATTCTGAAATAGGAAAAATTACATAAGATATTTGCAACCGATATTAACAACAAAGAAGTCAGAAACAAATATATAAAAATGGCTAGAAGTTAACAAGAAAATCACTGGCAACCCCACAGAAGCATGCCTGGGTACTTCACAAAATAGGAAAACAAGATATTCAAAAATCATTAATATCGAGAGGAATACAAAGTGAAACCCAAACAAGACACCATTCACAGAACCGGTGCTGTGCTACAAAGGGTCAAGCCCACATTGGGACTCTGTACTCCACCCTGGAGTGCTGGTTCCAGTGCCTGGCAGGTGATGGGTGACGACTCAGGCCTGCCTGAGCCCCACATGGAAGATCCAGGTGGCACTCCTGGCTGTGGCATGGCCCCCTCCTGAACACTGTGACGCTCTGGAGAGTAAACCATGATATGATCTACACTAAACTCCCTTTCAAATAAATACCTCTTGAAAAAGGAAGAATACCATTCAGTACATAGTCACAAGATTGGCAAAGATCAAAACTACTGTAACAGTAAGTATTAGTGAAGATCCAGAAATGCAGAACTTCCACATGCTTCATGAGTCCAACAGGTACAACCACTTCAGAAAACAGCTGACGATCTCTAGTACTACTGAAGAAATGCATCAGTCTAAAACCTAGTAATTCCATTCCTATGTTTCTAATCCAATCAAATATGGGAAATCTACATCAGAAGACATGACTAACAATGTTAGTGTCTGTACTGTTTTCGATGGCCAGGAGCTCCAGAAGCCGGGACTGAATCAGTATTAGTCAACCAGGATGGGCATCACAGTGTGGCAAGTTACACATCTCACACCAGAACATCGTAAGCCAAGTGAAGAATACATCAGTGTTTTATCATTACTGATTATGTATATGTTCATACACTTTCTGAATGTAAGCTTTACAATGAAAAATATGGAATAAAAGAGAAAAGCTGATATGGTGGATTTTGTCACAATGTTTATTACTCCATTCCAGCAAGCTGAAGGCTGCTTCGAAAAGCCAAGGTCAAACGACACCATCACAACTCGAGGCAAACCATTTGCCAAGTTCACCTTCAACACACACTCATTCAACGACTTTCCCCGTTTCCAAGCTGGCAAAGCAACCCTCATCACCAGGAGCCCTAAGTCACAGCACCTGCACCCACAAGCACGACTTATGGAAAATGGCCTAGGAGAGATCAACATTCCCAAGGAATGCTCCTTCATCTCTGGGAACCGCAGACCAGAGGGCTGCAAATCTCCAGAAATTATAGATTACATTTTGTGTACACGTCTACAATCTCAAGGGTCCAGTCCCTGTGCTTCTCAGAGAAGTGTCATCAACAGTAGTGAATAAACACTGTTTCCAATCAGGTGAACAGAACAGGGTTCCAGGGTCGAAGCACCCACTGGACCACCGGCTGTAAGCCCAGGGGTGCTGCTCCCAGGCCTGTGCTCGGTACTTACTCTCAGCTCCTCGAAGGCTTCATCTAGGGTGGACAGCTGGTGGCCCCGGTGGGCTCCGATGACAGGGCACAGGACACAGATGAGCCGCCTGTCCTCCTGGCAGTACGTGCTCAAGTCGAGCCCGTGGTCGGGACACTTCCTCTTGGCCACCCTCTCGGCTTCCATTTCTATTTCGGGGTCAAACTCGCTCTCTGCCTCGGTTTCCCCCTCCGCCTCCGACTCCCCCTCCTCCTGGTTGTCCCCCTCCGCCTCACTCTCTTGTTCGTCTTCCATTTCCTCGTCGCTCTCCTCCTCGCTCTCCTCTTCTTCCTCCTCTTCCTCCTCCTCCTCCTCCTCCGACTCGCTCTCCTCCTCCGTCTCACTGCCTTCCTCCGTCTCGCTCTCTAACTCCTTGTCCTGCTCGTCCTTGGCCTCCGCGTCCCCTTCCCCAGGGGCTCCCGAGGCCCAGGCCTGGGCGCCATGGACGTAGTCGGCCAGGTGATGGCTCAGGAACTTCTGCCTGTGCGCCTCGGCGTGGCGGCGGCAGAAGCAGAAGCCGCATTCGCGACACACCTCTTCGGCGCCCGGGGCCTCGTCGGGCTCGCACTCGTCACACGTGCCGTCGGGAGGCAGCTCCTCGAAGGCCGCGCCCACTCCGGAGGCCATGTGGGCGCAGGGACGCGGCCCAGGCCTGCGGACCGCCGCGCTCGCCGCCGGCCTCGGCGCGGCTCCTTCACCTCCTCCTCCTCCTCCTCCTCCTCCTCCTCCCCCTCTTCCTCGCCCGGGCGAGGGCCTTTTCTCCGGGAGGCGCCGCCCGCCGGGGTCGCGCTGCGTCTCGCTGCGAGAGCCGGACCCGCAGACAGCCCCCTTAGCCCGGCCGGCAGCGAAGGCCCGTCCCTCCGCCTCGGCCTGCTGCGCGCAGCCGCGGCGCTTCCTCGGCCGCTCGGGGCACTTCCGGCGCGGCCGCCCCGCGGCCCCGTCGGCCCCCGCGCCGCCCGCTGGTCTCCCTCCCCGGGCGAGGAACGCGGCGGCGGCTGCAGGCTCCCGCGCCGCCCCGGTTCCACTTTCCCTTTCGCTGTCAGGCGGACTCTTTTCACTTCCTGAGTCATTTAAAGTGGCAATGGCCCTTTTTTTTTTTTTTAAGCGTTTCCCTTGGGGCTCGGCTCTGCGGTTAGGAATCTCAGCATCCCGGGAAAGTGGAGCGAGGATGGAGGAAGCCTCGCGGTCTCCTGGGGTTGGGGACTCGGCCCCGCCCCCCCAGTCCCTCCCTGGAGATGTCCACTGGACCTTGGTCCTTGTGTGCTCAGTACCCGTCGCGGTCCGCGGGTTTTCTGCGCGGTGCCAGCTTGGAGCATTGTTGACCAGCCGGAAACCTGAGCTTTGGGGGTTTTCAGAGGCCCCAGAAGGTCTGTGTTTGTTCTCTGGGGCCCTGGGACTGTCAGACAGACTGAGCAAACACTTTTCGATCCGAAGAAATACTATGCTTTGTTTGCAAAGTGTGTTTGCATTCCTGCCTCCCAGGGGCTGAGGATTCCTGGCTCTTTTCCTGAGCCTTTGGTTAGACAGGTGAGGCTGGAGGGAAAGGCTATGGCCCGAGCTCCAGTTTCCTATACGTGAGAAGTCTTTCTGGATTCAGATTAGATTCCTAGAGTGAAGAATGGGCTGTGATTTATTAAGCAGTGTTGAAGTGCCAAGAACTAGGTCGTATCTTTTTGTGGCTCTTTGAAAGCTGTGGGAAGTGCACTGCCCCAGGACCCCCCAATTCCTGATGCCGCATTCATTAATCAGGTTTCTGGCCATGCTGGGCAGAGTGGAAATAAAGGCCCTGCCCACTTCATTGGGTATTTTTGTGGATTTGGTGTGAAGGTGCCTGCAGTACATTCGCTTATTATTTTTGGCACAAATTATATTTAGTGTTTGCGGTGATCTATGGAGGAGGTTTTGAAGTATGTTTTAAACCCATGGGGAATTTTTCCTAGTGAGTGGGAGTGTGTACATCCTGTCTCAATCCTATATCTTGGTCTCACCCTTCATAGAAGAGAGGAAAAAGAACATTTGACCTACCCAGTCATGGAGAAGCTGAGGTAGGATTAAGAACAGGAGCTGAATGTCGTCGACCCCCTTAGTTAATTTTGCTCTAGGATTTCTGCATGATTGCCATTATATATCAAGGCAGTAGGTGGGGTTATGGAAAACATTGTAAACAAAGCGAATGTAACCCACAGATAATATCGCCTTCATCTTTTGATTGATTTTTGCTTGAGCAGCAGAGAGCTCTCTTGCATCTGCTGGTTCGCTCCACAAAGTACAGCATCCTGGCCTGGACGTAGCTGGCATAGAGGCAGGAACAGAGTCCCTGTCTGCTGTGGAGGTGGCAGGAACAGAGGTACTGGAGCAGTGGCCTGCTGCCTCCCGCTGGAGTAGGCACAGATCCAACTCAGGCATTCTGGCCTTGCAGATGTTGTAACCAGCATCTTAATCATTGAGTCCCCAGTATGCTAAATCCTCCTGCAGCTTTTCTTAGATAAGTCTTTCTTACACTCCTGTTTTAAATCTCAAAACAATCTTGTAGAATGCTGATTTAAAAAAAAAATCTCTGTTCCAATTCCATATACATTGCTGTTTCCCTCCAGTTAATTTCTCTGGATTTTATTTTTCTGTATCTACATTCAAAGTGGAGATGTATGCATAATTCTAGAAAAGGAAATTCAACAAATATTAACTTGAACATCACCATTATTAAACCAAGTGAGTAGCATTTTTATTTTTTCTAACCCCCCTCAGACTTAAAAGGAAATAATTTAGTTCTAGAAAATATTTTTTCCAAATTTATTTTTTAATGTATTTACTTATTTATTTTTGGCAGTCATGGTTAATTAGGGCACAAAGGCTCAAGGGCTACAGGAAAGTGGGTAAGACTATCATTTCCACATTCTCTTTTTTTCTGTAGCTGGGGTAAAGAGGGAGATAAAAGGAGAAGCCCCACCCAGCCTCCCACCCATCCCAGGTCCCCAATGTGGGGCATGCTCCGAGGGTCTTGCACAAGTGGTTTTGATAGTTCACCAGTTCTCAATTGCTGCCAATCTCGCCATTCCAAGCACGATGAAGTCGCTGCGGAATCCACTGATTGACATAGTCCATCTTAGAGTTTCCAAAAATATTTATTGTTCTTTAGCTGACACAGAAAAAACCTCACATGTTTGTAGGGTTCCAAGTGGTATTTCCATACATGTAAACACTGTGTAATGTTCAGATTAGGGTAAATTTTCTCAGGGATTTTTCATTTGTTTTTGGTAACAATATTTAAATTCCTTTCTAGTTTTTGTGATGTAAAGAGAATATTATTAAACATCACCCTACTGTTTAATAAAAGATTCATTTTATTTATTTGGCAGATTTACAGAGAAAGAAAAGGGTCATCCTTATACTTCACTCCCCAAATGACCTCTCAGCAACCAGTGCCAAGCCAAACTAAAGCCAGGACCCAGAAACTTACCCCAGGTCTCCCAAATGGATGCAGGGAGCTGAGCCATTCTCTACTGCCTTCCCAGGCCGTAAGCAAGGAGTTGGACTGAAATAAAATCCGACAGCTATATAAGATAATGCCACCCCAAGTGGAGGCTTGGCTTACTATGGCATGGCATGGGCTCCATGATAAAACTCGTTTTTATAAGAAGTTTTTTATATCTAATGGTAACTTATTACCCATTGCTCGTCAAAAAGTGACTTTTCAAGGAAAATCATTTTGTAATGTCTTAAATGGATATATTTGCAACCAGGATCCAGTAGAGTGAAAAGTAGCCCAATGAGGTCATTATTACATTATGGTCTTAGTTTAATGGTTCACATCTAACACTGTATATCAGTTGGCTAATCCTCCAGCTGCAAGTGCCAGCATTCCACATGGGCATGTCCCAGCTGCATCACTTCCCATCCAGCCCCTTGTTTATGGCATAGGAAAGCAATGGCGGAGGTTCCAAAATCTTAGGAACCTCCACTTCTGTGAGAGGCCAGGAAAATGTGCCTGGCTCCTGGCTTCAGATCAGCTTAGCTCCAATCATTGTGGCCATTTGGGGAGTGGACCAACAGATGAGATTTTTCTCTCTCTGTCTCTCTCTCCTCTATCTGTAAATCTGACTTTACAATAAAAATAAGTAAATCTTTAAAAAGTTATATAATACTGTGGAGTTTAGTATTTGGCACTTCACAGAGATTCTTTGAGCCCACTGTAGAGACAGGGTCTTAGAGGCAAAAACTGATGAGACAATGTAAAAAGGGACTTCGTAAAATTTTGGTGATGGGTAGCACATGCAGTGAGGCAAGTCTGTTTTTCCACAGACATCAGATCCAACTGATTCCCTAGGAAATGAAATCTTTAGGGGCATCCAGAAATTGTGCCCTTGTCATATTAATTTATTCCTGCCTAGAAAATGATCTCAAAATATGACACCTTTAGAATAGTAAACATTATTTATTATAATTATAATGATAATTTATAATTAACTTAGATCAATTTAGTGAACCAGGAATCTCTGGTTGACTTTGCTGGATAGTTCTGGCTTAAGATCTGGCAAAGATTTCAGGAAACTTGTTGGCTGTGTGATGGTCACAGTAAGATTCACCACCAACGTAGTTCACTCCTAGCCTATGGGAAAACTCACCAGTTGCTATAGGGCTACTTGAGTGTCGCTGTGACATAATGGTTAAAATCTCCTTAAGTGTTCCAACAAAGGGTAAAATCGAAGTTGCAATGTCTTTCATGCTCAATACTCAGAAGTCACATACCATCATGTCTAGTCTGTTTACAGAGAGTAGGTGTACTCAGTACGGTAGGATACCATATGTGGGCACAACTACCAAGAATAGGGCTCTTTGGGGCCATCTTGAAGACTGGCTACATGGGTCTGGCGTATGCTCTCCAATGATTCATGTATCTCTCCAATGCAAAATGCATTTTCTTTTTCTAGGATTCCCAAAGTCTAATCCATTATTTCATCTAGATTTATAGCTAAATTGGATCCAGGTGTGGTCGAAACACCTGCACATAACATTTCAAGCTCCTTGAGTGAATACCAGTGTCTCCTGTACTCCCAATATACAATAATGAGACAGAGTTAGGATAACAGACACTCTTATTTTAAAAGGAGAAAAGAAGGAGGTTTTGAGGAGGTATATGGCTACAGAACATTCTAAAATCCAGCTAGGCATTTGTTGTAGGTTCCTTGATTCAGATTTAAACCTCTTCCTGCTGGGGAATGACTCTTCATGGCTCTTGACTTCATCCTTCGGGATCTTGACTCCACTCTGAGTTACCCTTCCTTATCCAATTACTATCACTCCATGTTTGCAGCTGTAGAGTTTTGACAGGAGAATTTAGGGAATCCAAAGTATACTGTCTGTTTCCACGCCTGCAGGCTTATAAAACCTTCTTGAGTCTCCTATAAGGCTAACAAAATGTGCACCCCAAATCTATTCAAAATAAGCCCCTTTCTACTCTGTAGGGTCCCCACATATGTCTCTGAAGCCCTATGGTGTGTCTGCTGGTGCTCTGAATTACTGCTGTAGATCTTTTAAGGTTTGAACCTGGAGTTTTACAGCCACACTTTTAGTTTCTTCAAATGATGTTATTTTGGCAACAGCCTGAAGTCTATCTTTGCCTGGAAGCCATTCTTCATTTTTTCATCATTTGCCATACAGAAACGCTGGTCAAAACTATATTCTGGATTTTTTTTTAAGTTCTTCCTTCAGATGATCTCTACTCACAT